AGCGAGTACATCGGGCATGGGGCTAGTGCTAGGAGGACGCAGGCCGGTGGTTCTTACTGGGCACACAGCCGGTTCTTGGGCAGACGACAGTGAGAACCTCAGGTCCTCCCAGGGCTACTGTTTTAGCCTTTCTTCGGGTGCCATCTCGTGGAGGTCCACTCGTTTCGCGTCTGTTGCACAGTCTAGCTGTAAGGCTGAGATCTACGCCGGTGCCATGGCGGCACAGGAGCTCCGCTGGGTGACCTTCTTGCTCACTGACTTAGGTGAGCGGTCTAGCTCTGCCCCGGTCCTGTACGCTGACAACAGGGCCATGATCCTCCTGTGTCAGGAGCCTCGACTTGAGGGCAGAGCGGAGCACATCCAGCTGTGGTACTTCCTCCTATATGAGCTACATCAGTGCCGCTAGGCCCGCGTAGTAAACTTGGTCTCTTGTGCCAACACAACTGACATCTTTACTAAGGCGACTGCGCCTAAAGATCATCAGCGGCACTGCTTGAAGCTTGGTCTAGTTCGTGTAGACTCTCTCTTGCTAGGACCTTGGTTGTTTACTCCTCTTTATATATATCTTTCAAACTGGCCTTGTGGCTCCTCTCCTAGAAGCGGACTAGAAGTGTCGCCCTGGTTTGCTCCTATCTTGTTTGTAATCTTGCTGACTGGTCTTCGGACCCCTGTCTCGGAGGTTGGACTAGTAGTGCCACCCTGAGCTGTGTGCTTATTGCTCAGCACTACTCCTTATCTAGCCTAGGGGGTGTGTCAACTTATACATACATTCAGCATATAAAACTTATAGGCTAGAATAGGTATAAGTTCTTAGGGAGTACAACCCAACCCTATACCTTGCTTGTTTCCTCTTGTTTCCACTCATTCTAGTATTCTAACACTTAACAGGTGTACATTCAATTTGGGGCTCCAAATCCGACTCGGGTAAGTGTACACGATTTGGGTAAAAGCGTGTACTGTATTACAGAGTCAGTTATGTGTCCTTACTGTTGTGACGGAGCCTTGGACTTCTATCAGTTCGGCGTTGGTATACGGCCAACGACTGTTGTACTTCGTGCACCGCGTCATACGCTTGAGTTCGACAAGGTTTATTGCTCGAGCGTCACTTTCAGGAATGTAACAAATTCCTTGTCATAACATAATAATTTTTAAGAAACGGTACTGTTAAATCATATAGGTTATATATAATTGTAGGCTTGGTAGGTGTTACTGAAACCTACTGTAGAGGGTACTGTTAAACTAAGCTAGGTAGGAGGGAAGCCATGGAATGGCGTGAGGTTTAGGAAGGAGAAAGTTGACGAGAGAAAAGAGGTCAGACTAGAAAGAGAGAGGGATACAAGGAGGGGATTGTACCCTCTACAGTAGAGTTCAATAACCTACAAAGCCTACACGAACACACACACACACACACACACACACACACACACACACACACACATACACACAGACATACACAAACATACATATATACACACACACACACGCATACACACACACACATACACACACACACAGACACACACATACATACATACACATACACATACATACACACACACACATACACACACACACACACATACACACATATACACATACACACACACATACACATACACACACACATACACACACACACACACATACACACACACACATACACACACACATACACACTCACACACACACACACATACACACACACACACACACACACACACATACACACACACACACACACACACACACACACACACACACACACACACACACACACACACACACACACACACACACACACACACACACACACACACACACACACACACACACACACACACACACACACACACACACACACACACATACACATACACACACACACACACACACACATATACACACACACACACACACACATACACACACACATACACACACTCACACAGACACACACACATACACACACACATATATATAATTTGACAGAGCCGCCAGCTCGCCGTCAGCTCGCCCAGACATCAGCCAGTGCCGCGTAAGCCACGGCGCCTTGCTGACGCAACGTCACCTCCCCTGCACCACCCCTCGTTCTAGCCGCAGATGCAGAGTTCCCGGTCGTTGCCGGGCCGTGCCATGCCGCCGGGCGTTGCAATTTTCGCCGTCACCGCCGCCGTCGCTGCCGCCGCCACCGCCGTGCCGCCGTCGCCGCCGCCCGTCGTTGACGCTGCCGCCGCCACCGCCGCCTCTGACGCCGTTGCCGCCACTCGCCGGGGGTGGCACCGCCTCGCACGAGGGAGCTGGATTGCGTTTCAGAAGGACCCAATCATTCCGTAAAATGGTTCGGTAGGGTTTTGGCCAAAAAATGAAAGGTTAGGACACACCTCAATCCAACTAGTAAAACATTAGTTAGTAGGGAACATTTTGTTCAGTCGTTGTAACATCATGGCAGGGCCGATGGCCTGGCTGGAGGACAGAGCGACACGTTCCGTGAACGCTAGGAGGGCTGTTTCCAGGCCAGTTGGGAACGTGTGAATGAACACTTTTGCGGGATTTACAGGAGCAATCGATTGCTTGCTGTTGTGAGGGGGGTGTGGGAGGGGCTGAGCTGGCAGCGAGATTGGATTCATAGATCGAAATCATTTCAGGAATCAGGTGGCGTGCAGCTACAAGTTCGATAGTTGGGAAAATTGCTGCCGCGGACTGTCCACGAAACTTTTCATACTTTCGTGGACAGGCCCTACTTTCATGGACACCACATCGAACTTTCACATCTCCCGTGGACTCCGTCAATACTTTCGTGGACTCCAGGCTTACTTCCATGGACACACGCGAGTTTGAAACAAAAAAAACATACAGAACTGTACAGATGCTGACAGGAGAAAAAAAGCAAAATTAGGCGTAATCAAGTCCCTCGCAAATAGTCGCAAGCTACAGTATTTTCAAGCCACCAAGTCCGCTAGCTGTTTCGCGTGTTTATAGAAACTCTGAAGCGATCCTCAAAATTCATTTGAATGACTGTCACGAAGCGCTTTTCGTTGAACGATAAGTGTAGCAGACCGACCTGGTGAAATATCGCTACAAAAAATCACGTTGTAGAATAAAGATAGATATTACGCTTACAAGATTAATAGAGCTCATTAAAAATCTCTGCCTACCAAGAATCAGGAATACCATGAATTCTGGCATTTACAAATATTTCAACTAGTACTTGGCTTGCATTTTCAACTAAGATGTGAAATCTCAGAATACCAATAACGTTTGGTGAACATGACTATATAAATGGAAGGTTTCACGTCTTGATTGTATTATTATTAAAATTTCGGTACATAATAAAATAATAATAGATGAGAAAATGATATAACTATTTTACATTCACGTTTTTGGGAATATGTTTTTTATGTGTGAACGAGAAACATACTAATGCAAATAAAAACAAGTGATTCAAAAAAATATATTTCTTAGGTGTTTTTTTCACAGAATTACTAATAATGAAATTATTTATTATGAAGGAGAAAACAACTGCTGGTTGATGCTGGCTCGTCAAGCACGTGCATATTATGTTTTGTTGGGTAGCTCTGAGTTGAATAATAAGTGTTTTTACCACGCGGACCCTAATACACCCTGTTTTTGAAAATTCACTGCATATTTGAGTGCGGCTGCAAACTCTTCCCAGAAAAGCTCCGAGATTCTGTTTCAGAACTGGTTTCCGACACTGTAGCTCGCGATTACTTGCGACGGACAGATATTCTGGAGTATCTCGATTTTTGTGCCCGTAATCACTCGTACATTGCTGAATACTCCTTTTTAACTGCGAATATGGGTGTGTCCATGGAAGTAAGCCGGGAGTCCACGAAAGTATTGACGGAGTCCACAGGAGAAGCAAAACTTCGATGTGGTGTCCATGAAAGTAGGGCTTGTCCACGAAAGTATGAAAAGTTTCGTGGACAGTCCGCGGCAGAAATTTTCCCTCGATAGTTTTTATAGAGGGATTATGATATTTTGGGCTAGGTTTGGAGCTTGATGCTGTTCTGTTACGTCCTCCCAACTATACTGGGTGAACAACAATTATTCGGTTGGGGTCCTAAGCTCCTCCTCCCAACTGGTGGATGTTGTATTGGGAGGTGCCAGTGTGCAAAGACTAGTATATCCTTAAAACTCGGGATGGTTTTATTTCTCGACCTTCAAAATGGTATGGAGGTTTTCCTAGAATATGTGTGCTGTGCACCTTGTTCAAAATGTTTGTGGCTGACGAACGCAAGCATTGGAGACGGTCGCCCTTCAGGTGGCGTGGAGAGGAACAGTTCGCTTGGAGTTCGAGGGAGGGAAGTCACCATCAATCTTCAATGACGTGGCAAGCCAGGTTGCCAGTTGGATGACACCCAGCGGCCCTGCCGATGAGTTGTACAGCCAGTGCTATCTTACGGACCAATTTGATGCTCGGTTTCACTGTTCGGTTACAGGTTTAAACTGAACCATCATGTGCACAGAAAATACATGGTGACTTGTAGGTGGTTGCAGAGACGATGGGATATCAGTTTTGAGCCGAGGGTCTGATCCGTTACTCTCATCAAAAACATGCCCCACAAGATTCTGGTGGATCAGCTCCTCTGGCAAATCTTGGTGTACGCCAGGTGGCAGGGAACATCCGCGGCACGTTGTCGAGATGACACCTCCCCGAGGTCCATGAAATTCAGCGCGTGAATCCGTCACGTAGCAGAGGCGAGTTCCATGCGACGCAACAGGGTTGAGAACTCTTCTACACGGTGAATCCGTCCAGCTCTTTTGACGTCGCCGCGGTTTGTGCGGGTGGGATGGAAGGTGCATCCAAGCGGGTTTCTGTTTCACTATCCTCTGGGCGAACCGACACGGCTCCCTCCCCGACCCGACTCGTCCGATTGGTTGCGGGGAGAGGGGGCGCAGAGTTTCTCTTCCCTTCACGAATCGCCATGCCACACCACAAAAGCGAGCCCCGCTGCTTCTTTCGTTCAAATCAGCACGACCCTGAAGAATCGAGAGAGTTTCATTTCATCTCCGCTTTCATCCCTCCTTCACCCGACTCGGCGTGCAAAATTCAAGACAAGACGACAAGGCACCAGGCAGGGACACACACCCCCCTGCAATTCTCCTGGCCAAGATACAGTATCCCACCCATCCACCCCTTCCCGCCACTGCAGTATTTCGAGGTTCAATCCACCCCAGGCAGTTCTTCCTTTCCCCCCACGCTGCGGTGTACCTCCACCTGCGACGCTACTGCAACTCGAGCAGCTTGCCACCGGCGCCACCTGAAGCAAACCTGACTTCCTGAGGCCCCTCTGACACGCCCCTGAGCACATCAAGAATTCCGCAACCCCTATCCGCTGCAACAAGCCCGACAGAGCAGCAACCACACTGCCCGAGATAGCTGGTTACGCATCGTCCGTTCTCTTCGTTCGCTCCGTTCCAAGGGAATCTATTTCTCCTCGGCGCACCGGCACAATGGCGCAGCAGCGAGAGCGGCGGGCTCGGCCGCAAGAAGCGCCGTGCGCAGCGGGCGTTCGCGTGCTCGTGCTCGTCTCTCTTCTCTGCGTGGCCGTCGGCCAAGGCGATGCGATTCAAGACGAAGGTGCGCAGTAGTACAAGTAGTTGGTGATGTCGCGTCGATCTGGCATATGCGCGGCGCATACCTTAAAGTGAAGCGGGCTTTAACGCGTACGCGTACACGTACGCGTGGATCTCTATCGTAGCTGACGGAATCCCGCACTGCGCAAGCCTCGCCTTGCCTCGCCTCCGCGCCGCGTCCGTCTTCCATCCTCCTCGCGCCTTCGCCGCCAAACGGCAGGTCCTGTCCCTTGATATTGCACCCACCCTCCCACCCTCCCAACCCCCACCCCCACCCCCTCCCCCTCCCCCTCTTCGTCCGTCCGCTTCCGCCCATTCTCCCCTTCCCCCGCAGTTTCCAAGACCGGCCTTGTCGACCGCCTGCCTGTCTACATCGTGCGCATGCGAAACTCTCCGCCCGTCGCGGGGTACACCGGCGGAATCGAGGGGCTGGCGGCGACCGCCAGCGCACAGCGCATCGCGCAGTCCTTCCGCGGGGGCGCTGCCACGCTCGCCGCGGGCCGCCGCCGCTTCCGCTTCGACCCGTTCAGCCGCCCCGTGCGCGAATTCTCGCGGTGGCTCGGGCAGATGCAGCAGCGCGTCGCGGGCGACGCGGGCGTGAGTCTAAGCAACGTGCTCTACAGCTACAAGTACGTGAGCAACGGGTTCGCGGCGCGGCTGACGGCGCAGCAGGTGCGGCGGCTGCGCAACCACCCCGCGGTGGCGCAGGTGAAGCAGAGCATCGCCGTGCGCAAGCTCACCACCGACTCGCCTGCGTTTTTGCAGCTGCCGAGCACGCTCTGGGCGGCGGCGGGCGGGCAGAGCAACGCGGGGGCAGGCGTGGTGGTGGGGATCGTGGATACAGGCATCTGGCCCGAACACCCGTCGTTTGCCGGAGACGTGAGTATAGGCTACTCGTGCCCTAAACTGGTAGTGGTTGCGAGTAGTGGTTGCGAGTATCGGTTGAGGGATGCGCGGGCGGCGTGACGAAGTTCAGTAGTAGCCAGGAGGTCGGTTGTTAAAAGATCTTGCCCGTCGTGCCCGTCTTTCCCGCATTTCCCGCATCCCCCGCATCCCCCGCCAGGCGTCGTACCCTAACCCGCCTGCCACGTGGAAGGGCAACTGCACGATCACGGCGGACTTCAAGGCGTGCAACCGCAAGCTCATCGGCGCGCGGTACTTCTCCGCGGGGTTCAAGAGCGCGTACGGCAGCATCAACCTCGCGGGGGACTGGCTCTCGCCGCGCGACGCGGATGGCCACGGCACGTGGTGCGCGGGGTAAGTGGAGGAGGCGCCTGGGCGAGCTTGAGCTCGAGTTGGTGAGGTAACACGGTAACATGGTAACTGGTAAGCCCGCATACAGGTAAGGGGAGGGACGAATGCATTCGATAAAATCAGCTGTATGCTAGTACTGGTAAGGTAACTTGGCAGGTAAGCGGAGCAGAGGAATCCATTCTTCTCTCCTTCATATTCACTCCTCCCTTGTTCCCTCCCCTCTCCTCCATCCTCTCCTAACTTCTCCCCCCTCCCTCCCCCTCCCCCTCCCCCCACCCTCCGACTCTCCACCCCCGCTTTCCCCCCGCCAGAGCGGCGGCGGGCAACAGCAACGTGCAGGTGGCGATCGCGCGCGGGCAGTCCGCGGGGCTGGCGAGCGGCGTGGCGCCGCGCGCGTTCCTGAGCGTGTACAAGGTGTTTTGGGGCGCGGCGGACGGCGTGAGCGCGACGTGGGCGGACATCGAGGCGGCGGTGAACAAGGCCGTGGCGGACGGCGTGGACGTGATCAGCCTGTCGCTGGGCGGGCTGGACCCCAGCGCGGACTACTTTGATGACTCGTCTTATCTCTATGCCAATGCGGTACGTGTGTCTCTGCTTCGTGTGTGTACACTGCACTGCACGCGTGTCTGCTGCACTGCACGCGTGTCTGCTGTGCAGTGCTGGTTTTAGCCAGTTTCTAGCGTTTTGGCTTTTGGCCTTCGGCTTTCAAACGCACCCCCTGCATTGCACCCTGCATTGCACCCTGCATTGCACCCTGCATCTCACCCCCTTCCCCTCTCTGTCCCGCTCTTGCGTATTCCTCATCTTCTCCTCAACAGATGGGAGTGACAGTTGCCTTCGCCTCAGGCAACGCGGGCAGCCCGCCCTACAGCACGGACATGTACCGCACCGTCTCCAACTTCTCGCCCTTCTACCTCACCGTGGGCGCCAGCACCATCAGCCGCCGCTACAGCACGTCTCTCGTGCTGGGGAACGGGGTCACGGTTGCTGCCACGGGGTTCGGCAGCGGGAGTGCGAGCGTGGTGGGCCTGCGGGTCATTGAGGGGGTTACTGCCATGAGCGCCACGTCCACATCCACTCAGGTGAGGCTTTTCACCGCTTCACACTCATCCCTACTCCTTTGCACTCCTTTGCACCTGGCCGTACTCCCCATGCTCCGCCCTGCTCTTCTGCCCTCATTGCCAACAATTGCTCCTACCACTCCACCACTCTCCCAACCCTCCCTTCTACTCTCCCCCTCCTCACATCGCCCCCCTCTCTCTTTTTCTCTCCTTCCCTTCGCCAGGCCCAGTACTGCTATGCCAACTCGCTTGACGCCACCAAGGTCAGCGGGCGGATAGTCATCTGCACCTATGGCGGGGTGGGCATGAGCACCAAGGTGGGGGAGGTGCTGGCGCGGGGGGGCAAGGCAGTGGTCATCACAGGCGTGCCCAGCGTGCTCAAGCCCTTCCCGCCGTACGACTCGCGCCTGCCCATGGCTTACCTGGACTATGCGCCGGCTGACACGCTGCTGACTTACGTCCGATCCAACCTCTCGTACGTTCCGTTCACTCTTCCTTGATCAATGATTCGTTCACTCTTCCTTGATCAATGATTCGTTCACTCTTCCTTGATCAATGATTCGTTCACTCTTCCTTGATCAATGATCCGTTCACCCTTTCTTGGTTGCAAACTCGTTGCCATTACCATTCCACTTGTGAATCGAAACAGAATTTCTCTGACGCCTCAGCTCCTAACCTTTCTGCTCCCCTTCCCCCCGGTCCCTCCCCTCCGCCCCCCCTCTTTCCTCACCCACCCCCCTCCGCCTCCCGAACAACAGCCCCACAGCCACTCTCTCCACCTCCTTCTCAACCGTCACCGACCTACCCGCACCCAACGTCGTCTACTTCTCTTCCTCGGGCCCCGTGCTCAACCCCTCCTCCACCGTAGTCAAGCCCCGGCCCACCAATGACATTCTCAAGCCCGACATCATCGCCCCGGGCGTCTCGCTCTGGTCCTCTTGGCGCGCCGCTTCTACTACATCTTCTACTCAAGAGTTTGCCATGATTTCGGGAACGTCCATGGCCACGCCGCATGTGGCCGGGATCGCCGCGCTGCTGACTCAGCGCTATCCGACGTGGTCGCCGCCCCAGATCATGTCGGCAATCATGACGACCGCCAGCACGACGACCAATCAGGGGTCCGCTATTGGGACGATCTACACCTCGGTTGCTACTCCGTTTGAAATGGGTCAAGGGCACATCAACTCTAGTGGGCTTTTGGACCCTGGGCTCACTTACACTTCGGCTCTTGCACACTACTACAACTTTCTGGCCGGGCAGGACCTGACCCGGACGAAATATCTCATCGGCACGCAGAGCAAGATCAGGCTGACCCCGCTCGCAGCGTACAATCTCAACCGTCCGACCATCTCTGTCTCGCGATTGGTTAAGAGCGTAGTGGTGACCCGGTGGGTGGTGAACGTATACAGCCAGACATGCACGTACACGGCGAGTGTCGTCGCTCCTGCGAATGTTCGAGTCGCCGTGTCCCCCTCAACATTCACTATCTCCCCTGCCAAGTCTCAGACGTTCACCGTGACGTTCACCGTGACAACAGCATCAACAAGCTTCAGCTATGGCAGCCTGACATGGCGGGACCAATACGGGCATGCCGTGCGGTCCGTGCTTGCCGTGCAGCCCATCAGCCTGTAGCCTACCCCTGCTGGCTGCATCGTCCACCCCTTCCCCCCCCCCCCTCCCCCTCCCCCCAGACATGCACACACATGCACTCTCACACACACTCACACACACTCACACACACACACACATACACACCCACACACACACCCACACACACACACACACACACACCCACCCACACACATACACCCCCACACACATACACACCCACACAACCACACACACTGTGCACCGAAGCAGAAGGCCGTGGGTGCAGCTACCACGCTTTGAACCTGTCTGTCAGTCAGATCATTTATTTATATTTGTGCTAAAAGTATATCGCTTGTTTACTTCTATTAGGATCACTTGACGTAGTTGCCGCTGAGCAAAGACACTACTACATAGAGTAAATCACTAGCGACAGCTAATCCCCACCATCCACGGGTGCTGGTACAAGAGCTCCATACAGGGCCTCAGATTGCAGGCTTTTTACCCTGATTCAGGGTAAAATCAGGACTTGGGGGGTGACCCTGATGAGACAGGAGTTTTTTAAGACGCAGGCCTGAAATTTCAGCGTTTTTTAAGGAGTGAACTCTGATCGATCAGCGTTACTAATGTAGTGAGCCCTGTTTGTCCAGATTCGTGTAATAGCAGATTCGCAGCCCCCACTGTCAACTTATACATATTATCTATGTAGAAGTTATAGGCTAGACTGAGGTATGCTTCTAGTGAGTACAACCAACTAGTATTTGTTCTAGGTTTCCACCTCTAGTAATCATTCGTTTCTACGTTAACATGGTATCACGCTTAGGTTAGGATCCCCCCGCCTACCGCTTCCGCCCGTCGCGCCTCCTAGGCCCCGTCGCGCTCGTTAGGCCCCGTCGCGCCCCCCCTGGGCCCCGTCGTGCCCGCTGGGCCCCGTCGCGCCTCCTAGGCCCCGTCGCGCTCCCCCTGGGCCCCGTCGCGCCCACTGGGTCCCGTCGCGACCCCTAGGCCCTAACGCGCCCCCGCTGGGCCCCGTTGCGCCTCCTAGGCCCCGTCGCGCCCCCCATGGGCCCCGTCGAGCCCGCTGAGCCCCGTCGTGCCTCCTAGGCATCGTCGCGCCTCCTAAGCCCCATCGCGTCCCCCCTCTCTGGGCCCCGTCGCGCCCGTTCGGCCCCGTCGCGCCCCTCCTAGGCCCCGTCGCGCCCGCTGGGCCCCTTCGCGCTTCCTAGGCCCCGTCGCGCCTGCTAGGCCCCGTCGCGCCCCCCCTGGGCCCCGTCGCGCCCGTTAGGCCCCGTCGCGGCCCCCCTGGGCCCGTCGTGCCCGCTGGTCCCCGTCGCGCCTCCGCGGCCCCGTCGCGCCCCCCCTGGGCCCCGTCGTGCCCGCTGGGCCCCGTCGCGCCCCTTAGGCCCCGTCGCGCCCGCTGGCCCCTGTCGCGCCTGCTGTTAGCGCTCGCCCGCCTGGCCTCCTCCTAGTGCCGCTCGGCCTCCTCCTAGTGCCGCCCGGCCTCCTCCTAGTGCCGCCCGGCCTCCTCCTAGTGCCGCCCGGCCCCTTCCTAGCGCCGCCCGGCCTCTCCTCAGCGCTGCCCGGCCCCTCCTCGTGCCCGACCGGCCCCAGCAGCACCAGCCTGGCCCCTCCCAGCACCAGCCCGGCCCTAGAGCACCTGCCCGCCTCCCCTGCTCGGCCTGCCGTGTCCTCTCGGGCCCTGTGTCTTCTGCTTGCCTGCGCTGGGACGCCTAGCTGCTGCCCTACTGGAGAGTGCTGCCGCCGTGTCCCCGCGCCGCTGTGCTCCTGTGCCGCTGAGGAGCTGTGCTGCTGTGCCGCTGTGTCGCTGAGGAGCTGTGCCGCTGACCCTGCACGATGGCTGACTTTGTGCTCCGCCTGGACGCTGAGGGCCACGCGGTTGACTTCGCCGCCTGGCTCTCCGATCTTCGCCGCCAGCTTACAGGTCAGCGCCAGGATGGCCACTCTCTGGTTGTCCATGCTGATGGCTTGCTCCCCCGTCCCCCTGCACCTACTCCCCTCCCTGCTGACCCCTCCTCTGATGACCGTGAGGCTTTCTCTACTGCTGCGCTAGCCTGTGCGGTCTGGGACTCACGCGATGCAGTAGCTCAGGTTGCTATTAGTCACGCCCTCCCTGTGTCTGAGCGCTCGCGTTTTGCTACTGTTGAAACGGCCAAAACTTATTTAGACGCCGTTATTGCTCGCTATTCCACCCCTGCCTCCGCTTCTGCTGGCCGCTTGCTCTTTCCGATGCTGTTCCCAGACCTGGCTGCCTTCCCTACTGTCGCAGATTTTGCCACTCATTTGCGTGCCCTAGAGACTCGCTATCGCACTGCCAGCACTGCTGCCCAGCTCACTGCGCTCCCCCCTCCTTTCTGCATGACGCTCTATTTTATCGCTATGCGCCTGCCAGACCGCCTCGCTAGTGCTCGCGACCACTTTCTTAGCCAGCACCCGGGTGACCTCACCCTGACCGCCTTTGTCGACACCCTCACTGAGATCGAGACTCGCCAGCGCACTATCGCTCAGTCGAGCGGTGCGCCGGCAGTCTCTATCTTTCACGGTTGTGCCCCATCCCCGTGCACGTTCACTGACGTTTCGGCTGCGGTCGCCACGGCGACCCCTCTTACCGAGACGGCTGCTGCTGTCCACCCGCAGCAGCGCTCGCGTCGCGGTGGCCGTGGCCGCCAGGGAGGTAGGGGTGGTGACGCAGGTGGTAGTGGTCGTGGTGGTGGTGACGGTAGTCCGCCTGAGGGGACTACCACCGGTGGGCAGGAGCAGCAGTCCCAGCAGCAGCAGGACCAGCCCCAGCCGCAGCCGCCGTCCCAGCAGCACCCGCCGCAGCCGTGGGCTCGTCTCCCGCCTGGTTGGCCCGGCACCTCCGGAGGCGGTGGCCGTGGTGGCGGCCCGCGCAGCTTGGCGTCTACCAGCGGCTCCAGTGCTGTGACCTGCCAGTACCAGCTTCAGACCGGGCCTCTCCGCGGCACTCTGTGCCGCCGCCCGCACCCGACCGCCCACTGTTTCCGCCGCCTCGACGATCTTTTTCGTCGTCGCTTTGGCCCGGCCCCGGACCTCCCTGACTGGCACAGCCTGCTCCGCCAGGGCGTGCCGATCTTTGAGTTAGACATGGATCAGATAGGTGCTGCTTTGCATGCTTTGTATGCTGACGCTTCTAGTGTTGATGGATCTTACTACCATGTGTACTCTAGTTTAGGTGTTTCACCCTTGTGTAGCTTAGCTTCCCCTGCTGCGACAGGCGTAGGACTGCCTAGGTTGCCTAGTCTAGTCGCTGCACCGGCTCCGTCCGCGGCCTCCGCCACTGCGTCGCTGTCCTTCACTCTCGACTCTGGTGCTTCTGCCTGCTTCTTCCGCGACCGTTCCACGCTCACGCCGCTTGCTGCACCTGCTGTTGTCTCTCTCGCTGACCCCTCTGCGGGTCCGGTCGTCGCGCGCAGTTCTACGTCCCTTCCCTGTCCGGCAGTTCCCTCGGGCTCCCTTACTGGCCTCCACGTTCCCTCGTTCTCCAGGAACCTGGTTGGTGTCGGCTGTCTCCAGGACCTCGGCGTCACCACCACGTTCCCCGGGCACGAGCGGTTCGCTGTCTGTTCTGAGGCTGTCTCAGGTTCCCCCCTTGCGACGTTCCCCCGGGACCCGGTGTCCGGTCTCTTTACCCTACACACCGCTTCCCCCCCGGTTGGTGCGTCCTCCCAGGTCGCTGCAGCTTGCTCGTGTCGGTCCCTCACTCACCCCTCCCTTCTCTGGCACCACCGCTTAGGTCACCCTGCTCTCCCGCGTCTGCGTCACATGTCCCAGCACGGTCTTGTCTTAGGTCTCCCCGCGTCGCTCCCTGCCCTTCCTCCCTCGACTGCGCCACCGTGCACGCCTTGCGTCGAGGGTCGGCTCCGCCGTGCTCCTCACTCCTCCTCGCTGCGTCCTGCTACTGCCCCCCTTCAGACCCTGCACTTGGACGTTTGGGGCCCTGCCCCCGTCCCCGGACCGCGCGGTGAGCGCTACTTCCTTGTGCTCGTTGACGACTACACGCGCTACACCACGGTGTTTCCCCTGGAGCGGAAGGCCGACGTGCCCGACGTTCTTCTCCCGTGGGTTGTAGCTGCGCGTCTCCACCGCGGTCTCCCCGTGTTGTGTCTCCACTCCGACCGTGGCGGCGAGTTCGCCTCTGGTCGGCTTGGACAGTTCTGTCGTGCGGAGGGCATCACCCAGTCGTACACCTTGCCGGACTCGCCACAGCAGAATGGGGTTGCTGAGCGCCGCATCGGCTTGGTCATGGAGGTCGCCCGTACCTCCATGATCCATGCCGATGCCCCCCATTTTCTGTGGCCGTTCGCTGTTCGCTACGCGGCTCACCAGCTTAACCTGTGGCCACGCTCCCAGCGGCCGCAGGTTTCGCCGACCCTCCTTTGGACCGGGTCCCCCGGTGACGCGTCTGCGTTCCACGTCTGGGGCTGCCTTGCTCACGTTCGTGCCTCTGGCACGGACAAGCTCACTGCCCGCACTGTCCCCTGTGTCTTCCTCGGTTTCCCCCTGGACTCGTCTGACTGGCTTTTCTACCACCCGCCATCTCACCGCTTCCTCCACTCTCGTGACGTCACCTTTGACGAGTCCGTCTCCTTCTACCGCCGCTTCCCTCACCGAGGTCTCCCAGTTGCCCCCCCCCTTTTCCTTGCTCCCTCTCCCCCGGTAGCCCCTGCCCCTCTCCCGCCTCGTCCTGCCCCGTCTGGTGTCTCCCACGTCACTCCCCTCCCGTCGGTTGTCCCCGTTGAGGAGTCTGCTGACTCTGGTGGTACCCCCGGTCCGTCCTTGCCGCGTCCCCCTTCCCCAGTGCCTCCGCCCCCACTGTCGCAGTCGCCGACCCCGCTGCCGCCGCCGTCGCCGTCGCCGCCGCAGCCGTCGCCGCTGTCGCCGCCACTGCCGCCGCTGCTCTCGGCCCCTGGGGGTGCTGGTGTGGAGGAGGGTGTTCGTCCTGCGGCTTCTGGGGGTGCCGCTGGTGTTGGAGGGGGTTCTCGCTCTTGGGGTGTTGGTTCTGGGGGTGCTGCTGTTGAGTGTTCTGCCGACGGTCGTTCTGCCTCTGCTGGTCCGAGAGTTCCGGCCCAGCCGTCGTCGCCGCCACAGCAGCCGTCGCCGCCGGTTTCCGCTCTCCGCCTGCTCGGCCTTCCCTCCCCGGACCGCGCGCCGGTGTCTCCCCCACCGCCTCCTGACCTCCCTGTCTACGGTCCTGTGTTCCCGCCGCCAGACTCGTCTCCGGCCCGTCTTCCTCCTCGTTCCCCTCCTGTGTCTCCTCCGCTGTCCCCTGACCCTACCCCTCCGTCTCACGTTTGGGCTCGCCGTCCCTCCCGTGCCCGTCCCGTCTCTCCTGTCCTGCCCACCCAC